GAGCGCTTTAGGTACCTACGTTGAAATTTGGAAAAACCTTACACTAAAAAGTACCCATTACATATTGTATTGTTACATTTCTAAAAAAAATACAGATAAGAATTTTTTTATTAAAGTTACAATTTTATAGGAATTTTGCCTCAGGTAGGTAAATCGACAATTTTTGTTCTACAATAATTAAAGAATGGGTGTATACATCTTTTATTTTGTAAATAACTGATATTATTTCATAAATAAATAATATTTTGATTAGTTTATAAAAATTTTGTTTGTCATATTTTTTTAAATAATTCTACGATTTAAAAAAAATTTATTCTTGTAAATATTTACATAGTTTATCTAGTTAGGTACTGAAACGCTGTGCAAAACTGTAACAAAATTATAATAATATGTTAGATTAGGAACATCAAAATCTTGCAACTTTTCTTAGAAAATATTCGGTTATCAACATTTTTTTTTAGAAATGTTTTTCCAAATTCCACTGTACCTATAAAGCTACATTTTTTACTTATGAGTATATATCTGTACGTACCTAGCTTACAAAAGTGAGAAATGAAGATACTTTTTGTTTTATAGTATTTATTTATTCATCATTCTATATCGTATTCCACTTATATAATGACTCAGTGAGTTATCAATGTCTAATTTATTATCTATTTGTAGGTACTACCTATTTCATTTAAATAATAATTTAACTTTGTATTTATACTTGCAATTATTCCTATATATTTATATTTTTCTTGAATAAAGATTATTATAGCGCACCCCTTTTTCAATAGTGCCATATCCCTAAAAAAATTTAAATTGACTTTTTTGCCCAACGTATACAATGGGTGCTATGATTAGAGAGTTAAAGCAACGCTAGATACGTATGCGTATCGCTCTGACGTAAACGTGGAAATTGACGATACATTAAACGAGCAATCTGGAAGAAAACGATAAAAGCAAAAGCATTGACGTAAACGTATCTACAACTTTATAACCTTAGGTACTTTTTGAGAAAAGTCATTTAGAATTTTAGATAGTCATATTGAGTAAATTATAAATTTGAGTGCTTTATATTACAAATTCTACATAATAAAGAAAATTTGGAAAATAGTGATGTTTTATGTAGGAAATTCAATTTTATTATTCGATAACAAATGATCAATGTCTGGTAATTTTTACTAATTCATTTTTTTTCATTTAACTTTTTGAAATTAATGTGATGTTTATGTTATACAGGGTGTTTCCGAACTTGGCATCCAAATTTGTAGTCGTGGAAGTTCGCATAATTTGAGAGCGATTGGCAGACTTCATTTTTCTAAAAAAAAATATAATAAACAAAATAGAGCCATTATAAAAAAATCAAAGAGCAGGTCCTACCCTGAGCGCGTAGGGCAATGCGCTAGTTCAGTGATGATGTAATTATGGTTCCACTGACAATTAAAGTGACAGTAGATTTTTTGAGTGCGTTTTGTTTGTTTTGTTTACCTAAATTATATCGTTTGTTTCACTTTTATAAATATATTCCTAAAGTAAGTAGATAGCATGTATCAAATATACAATCGTTTAGTTACCAATTACATACCTTTAAATTATTTTTTATGACCTGTAAACAATATTTTGAAATAAAATAAAAACAGTAAAAACGTATATGTCAAATTTATTGATGTTTTTGTTAAAAGTTAATTAAATGTCAGTGGAACCAAAATGACATCACACTGAACTAGCGCATAGTCCTCAAAAACAGATGCGATTTGTAATTTTGTCGATTCTAAGCGTAGCGCGCGCGAGTCGAGGCACCCTATCGCTGTGCAGGACCGTACCTGTTTATAATTTTTAATTATTTTAATTTTAAATATTTTGGAAAAATGAAATCTGCGAATCGGTCTCAAATTATGCGAACTACCACCCCTACAAATTTGGACGCCAAGTTCGGAAACACCCTGTATATGAAACTCGTTTCGTATTATGGCTCAAAATTTAAAAAACAACAATATAAAAGTTATAATCTGTTATTAGTTTTTTTAAATCGGGTGCGATCGGATGCTCCCGAAGCATTTGCTTGGCTCGATACGAATGCGTATTAGGCGTACGTAACAACACGTATGTTTACGTAAGACGTAAATAGATACGTGGGGAAAAAAGCTATTGCGCATGCGTAGCTGTCATTAGATACGTTTACGTATACGTTTCTGACATTGCTTTAAATAGAGAGTTAAAGCAATGCTAGATACGTATGCGTATCTCTCTGACGTAAACGTGGAAATTGTCGATACGTTAAACGAACAATCTGGAAGAAAACAATAGTTAAAGCAAAGGCACTGACGTAAACGTATCTACACCTTAGGTACTTTTTGAGAAAAGTATATAGTTATATTGATAAATTATAAATTTAAGGGCTTTAAATGATGCTGTATATTACAAATTCTACATAATAAAGAAAATTTGGAAAATAGTGATGTTTTATGTGGGAGATTCAATTTTAATAATCGACTAACAAATAATCAAGTATCAATGTCCGGTAATTTTTACTAATTTATTTTTTCAATGAACTTTCTGGGAATAAATGTGATGTGTGTTATATATGAAACTCGTTTCGTATTATGGCTCAAAATTTAAAAATCAGAACAATATGAAGTTACAATCTGTCATTAGTTTTATTAATTCGGGTGCGATCGGATGCGCCCGAAGCATTTGCTCGGCTCGATACGAATGCGTATCAGGCGTACGTAAGAACACGTATGTTTACGTAAGACGTAAATAGATACGTGAGAAAATAGCTATTGCGCGTGCGTAGCTGTCATTAGATACGTTTACGTATACGTTTCTGGCATTGCTTTAACTCTCTACTCTCTATTGAACGTTTACGTTATCCGTAACGTACATGTTAGGCCGAGTTTTAACAGTAACGAGGCAAGTTCGTATGATGGAAAACTGTTAAATTAGAACATAACAGGCGGAAAATAACAGTAATGTACTGTAAAAAGCTTTCAATCACACGAACTTGCCTTGTTACTGTTAAAACTCGGCCTAACATGTACGTTACAGATAACGTAAACGTAAAAAAGTAGGACCCATTATGAACATGCCTACAATACATAAAAGTGCCATATCAATAGTTCTAATAAATTCCGCGCGAGGCGCCATCAACAGCACTGCCATATCACATATTTTTTTGTTTTAGGCAGGCTTATGTGTAGATTTCACATTACATTACATATGTATCATTTATCAGTAGAGACATCTTTAATCAATATGTATACCGAATTTGGTAAGCACAACTACTGAAAATGCTGCTCTAAAAAATATTACATCCACAAATCGTTTTTGTTTCGCTTTTCCCGTAAAATTAACATTTATAAAGGGGTAATGTTGTAGTTGACGGGTCTAGAAATGCGCATATTCACACCACTCTGCACTGACGTCTAGAATTTGAATTTGCTCAAGCCACGTTGCCAAATCTCCACTTTCATTTTAGCTTGCTCTATTTCATAGTTTATTATTTAGACAAATTGTAACCTCTGTAAATTAAAATGTATGATAAATAAATATATAGATCTATATTATATTTTGAAATAACAATTCTGTTTTGTTTTATAAGACAGTTTTGATAGATTTTAAATTTAAATTTTGTAATTATCACTATTGAAAGGTATTATTGCCATTAAAAATAACGATCGTATTACTTGAAAATCTTTAGAATTTTTTTTTATGGGATTTTTAATCAATGTAAAAATTGGTAAATAGATGATTAAAAGTAAAATAATTATTTCAATCTGCTTATTCCCTGGTTCCAAATAATTCAATATAACCTGGCAACTATGTAACGATTCCAACTGACAGAACTAGCCGGAACAGCATGGTGCGGACTGGCGCATTTCCAGACCCTTCAACTACAACATTACCTATAAAGATTATGGCACTATTGAAACATGGGTGCGATATCATCTTCCTGCATTTTTAACATTAAGTACCTATTTCCAACTGGAACGAAATCTGAAATCTACTAGGTACCGATCTCTGTATTTGTGTGCGTTTAATAATAATTCAAATATTAGCATTTGAGGAAATAACGTAGCAAAAATACTTACATCGAGGGCCACAACACAACGCAGGACCTCGTAACACATTTCCACTGAAAATTATATTTTATAATAATCTCGTTTAAACCATTTCACTTCATCTACTGTTTTTGTTTTTTTTAACAAAACGAGTAAATATTAGTCCTATCTATTATTAGCACTGAACGGGTAATCTGTGACTGAACTATACATATATTAAACTGGAAGAACAAAGCCGATCAACAAAATCAAGCCGCATAGCGAGGTGATATTTGACACTTTGGCGCCCACATGTGCGTATCGAAATGCACTAAAAAGGATCATGAAATTTAAATCTAACACTTATTACATTTAACTATGACACCTTTTAATTTAAATTATTATTATTAAAATAGCGCGTTAATAATAAAAAATAATATAATTTGTCGTAGTACGCCCGTGGGAAACGTGACGTAGCAGGGTAGCCAGTTCCCCTGTAAATAGTTGGTAACAAGTTTGTTTGACCTCGACAGTGGCGCGCTGAGCGCGTTATGATGAACTATACTGCCGTGTTAATTGAAAAGGGCCCTATCTGCAGAAACTCACTTTTGAGAAAAACGTGTTTAAAGTTTTTTTGCTGTGCCATCCTTGTTTAATCGAGTAGCAGTATAATATTAAATGAAACGATTCTAAATTACGATTCAATTTTAGTGAACTAATTGAAAGTTAGATGTCGTATTATAAAGTTTTACTTTTGATAGTTAGGCCCTTTCGTTTTAACAGTTCTCTATAGATTAACTAACTCAAAAGGGCTCAACAGTATGAAAGTAAGCTTTTCTGAGTCAAAAAAGATTAATTAACTATGACAGATTAGGATATATGATAGGAAAATTTGGGGAATATTTATGCAAATGCGGTTTAACAAAATAATACTGCTTTTATATGAATTTTTATTTTTTGTGAACTCCTTTTTAACTAATACAAAAAATATTCATAAAAATACAATTCATCGGTAAGTGGTTCCTCGTTGACAGTCTCTGGCAGAGTCTCCCAAAATAATAATCTGAGTGGAGGTATAATAGGAGATAATTTGTTTAATAAAGTTCGTTTTCTCTCTGAACTAATTCCCCTGTACTGCAATTGGTTTTCTGGTTTACGAATGCCTAAAATATAATGGATACATTACTAAATAAATTAAATTAGTTTATAAATAATACACCCCAAATCGAATAACATTTACAGGGAAAATGCAAATATTAAATGAATGGTACTGACTAATGGACCTTACCATGTTTGTGATCATGAGCATTCAAAATATTTATTTCTGTGCCAGATTCCTCTTCAAAAGACGTTTTGTAGGTGAGTGTGTTATGACCTCTGCTAAAAGTGACTTGTACCATTTCGCTTAGATACGGCCTGGGAATAATTTTTTTTAATTTATATTGCGACGTACCGTCTCTCCAGGCAAACATCTTTTCTAATATCATTTGAATGACATTAGAGGTGCGCCTGGCTTTTTGAACAGCATCTACAAAATCGGCAAAATCATATACACGTCCTTTACGTTTCAGGGATGCTTCGACTTGGTGATGAAATGCATCAGCGGCCATGAACGTGTGTCCTGGTTCGAAATATTTTAACTCTAAAGTCTTTAGAGCAGTTTCATTGGAATTAATGAGATAAATAAAAAAACAATATAAGGTCCAGTTCTTGTTTTGTGCTGAACAGTTATCTAGCCACAAAGTGACGTTTTCAATATCACGAACGGTGAGAAAAAATGCGTAAAATGTATCTATTATGTTTTCCTTTCTCCGCCCCATTAGGGCCTCGTGCCATACGACTGCAGTTGGATTCAAAATATGTGCTTTTCCTGCAGGCATAAAGGTTTCGTTAAAAGCAATAAGCCATATGGAACAAAAATAACTTCTTTGAAAGTGTCGCATCTGGGCAACATAACGACCTGAAACAAAATAAGATAACAATAAACAATAATTTCAATAAAAGTAAGATGCTATTACCTTTTGTAAATCTACTGTTATTGTAATATGACATTTTGATCTTTCGCATCCTTCTGATACTTTTCTATCGCTCTTTTATATTTCCTAGAATGTTTATTCCAAGCGTTGCAGTCCTGGCATACGGAATTAAGATTTTCTTTTTTATGGCCGCTAGATGTACAATGTAACATAAAAATTTCACATGTCCAGCATTCCTCGTGACCCAACTTGGCAAAGGAAATGTTCATGTCGGCCACTACCTGTCTGTATAAGCTGTAGGAAAATGAAGTATTTTCAAATTTTGTTTGGAAATCATCGTACATAAATTTCACCGTGATATCACTTGGTAGGTATCGTTGACGAGGAGCGTGTTATCGACGATAATGCGATATCTGTGGCCCAAAGGATTCGATATGTGCCTTTATTATGTTCCGATTAACAATACGCTTTCGATTATTTGAGACACGTTTATCTGGTTTTGCTGTCATAGATGTACAGTCTGATTTTGAAATAACATTTCTAACAGGCTTAGCATCATTAAGCCGATAGCCTAAGATCGCTAAACAAAATGTTTTACATACATTTTCTCTCAAACCTTTGTCATTTTTTAGATAGTATCGAAATGTTTTCTTTCTTCGAGAACTTGTCCCCGCAGTTTTTCTGTTAGTACTAGTACTCGTAGTACTTCCTAACATAAAATTCCTTTTTTCTTGTCTCGACAACGACCAGTATTCTTTATTGATTAATAAACGTGTCGTGACATTAATCTTCTACCTACATTTTCTAGGGCAACTATTTTTGCAAATTGGTTTCACCGTATGTTTTGCTTTAATAGCATTTTCTTTTATCTTTTTTCTTTCTTCTACTTCTAAAGTGTGTTTTTTATTTTTCGGATCGTACCTTTTTTAGTAAGTGTGTTGCGGGTACATTCTTGCCACACATTGTCCAAAAGTTCATTAAATATTATATTATTAATAAATTCTGGTACCGTGGATGACTCTTGATTATAACTTACATTGGTCATAACAGAGAAGGAACTGCTAAAGTTATATCACTTAGCACAACTATTTTTTTATTTGCGCATTGTTTTATATCTGAATTGTTTTTAAAATCAGTCTCGTCTTCAGAACTAGTATTTTATCTACTATCCATTTTTAATTGTTAGGGTACACTATAATAACAATTGTAAGGTTAGGTTTTTTATGAACACATTTTACATACAAATTCACAAAAAATAACTATTTAAAACTACAAATAAAAGAAATATACGACTCACCAGATGTTGGGTAAACAATTTTAAGGAACTAACTCATAAATTCTTTAAAATCACTACAGTTCCACGTAAACAACACTGTCGGTAACAACTGTAAAAAGTGTGGTTAGGTTTATACATCACTTATTTGTTAGAGATAAAAGGCCTATCGACAAATAGAAGTAGTAGATATGCCGTTTTGTTGTAACAATAGCAGATAGGTCCTTTCAAAGTAAAAATTCGTATCACTGATACATATAGGCCTATCATATTTACCGTTTTTAAAGGATATTTTGGTAGATATGGTCTTTTTCTGTTAAATATAGGGTAGAAATAAATGTATATCACAGGATAAAACGTTCAGCTGAAAAAGGCAAAAATTGCAGATAGGGCCCTTTTTAATTAACACGGCAGTATAATTCGGTACAGTCGGTAAAGTAGAAAACTACTAGATAAAGCGATTTAAAAAATGGCGGGCTTTAAAATTTATGAAATTTGAAGTAATTTCAAGTAACATTTTCCTATTTTACAGCTTTTACTTACAATAATTGAAACAATCAATAAGTAAAATGAATTTTTATTGTAAGTAAATGCTGAAAAACGGAAAATGTCACTTGTTTTAAATGAAAAATAAAAACATTTGTAATAAGTTTATTTTATTTAGAATAGGTAACTATATCATTACATTATATTAAACATCATATTCACAATATGTTGAAAAATGTTCAAGGGTTGAAGTTAATTTAAAAATATACGTTTACACTAATCACGATTATTATTGTTATTAATATTATTATTTTATATCTATAAAATTACCTAATATCACAAAATTACACATTATCACAAAAAGTACACATTAAAAATAAATTGAGTTTACTACCTGAAAATTTTTTTATTATTCTTAAGCTCTACTGGGTGTTCCACCTATACATTTCTTCATAAATTGGCAGGATTGGCGAATACTACTTCGAATAAAAATAGCGTCCAAGTTGCAAGACTATGTCGCTACCCCCTTAAATATACAATAATTTCCCACTGGCACCTATTGTTTGACAGGTCGTTGGAATGTCTAATTCCAACGACCTGTCAAAATGCTGACACGTGGGGACTGACAGTTTAGATATGGCAAAGCTGTGGGCCTGTTGTCATTGACAGGGTCAATGCTTCATATATATTTATATGGATTGCTCAAAGCGGATCGTTTGCGAGTGGCCATATTGCCTCGCAAATGCTCATTAATCAGAATTGGTTCACCAAAACTATCTATTTCATTGACCCTGTCAAATTTTCAGGCCTACGTGGTTCCAATGAACTGGAGTGGGGTAGAATGCTTGTCAATAGGCTTGAGATGCGACTCTATGGGCGAAGACAGGTTATTTTTCATCTCACTCGGGAGTATTTATAACGACAATTTTCTATTTCACTTTGTTATTGTCTGATCCACCAGCCTGTGGATTGAACAATAACAATGTGAAACAGAAAATGGTTATTATAAATACTCCCGAGTGAGATGAGAAATAAAAATGACTGCGCCCATCGAGTCGCATCTTGTTATTCAATTGATAAAATATGCACATTAGCTTTCTACCCCACTCCAGTTCATTGCATGGTTCCCATAATGGTGCCTGTCAAAACTCACTGAAAGCCATTTTGTTTGGAATACCTTTGATGTGTTCCTTCATTGCGTTCGGTCTGCCACGTTCTTTTAACTCCTTCAACACTTTCTACTCCAAACGATCCTTTTAGCGTTCGGTTTAGTCCACATACTTTGATTACTATACGGTGCAAGAGAGAGGTCCTACACGCCCAACATAGGGCGCGGCCATTTTGATTCCTATGCCACAGTTTATAGCTAAAGAATCAGTTCGCTCACTCTGCGTCGGCACTTTTGATCTCAATGTTCCAGTTTATACACTGCGTAACTCGGATAATAAAATTAATATGACAACCGCCTATAATAAAACAGCAGTCTTCTGCGAATCCTGAATTTGTATCCCTGGTGTGGATGTTATTTTGGAACATTCAACTGGTCCGAGTGGGCTAACTGATTCTATAGCAATAAACTGTGACTCCAAAAATAATATTCACTGACACTGACAGCAGTAAGCAAAATATCAGGTGCGTTTTAATCATCCGCTTCTGCTTCCGGAATTGTCGGTTTAGTCGTTTTAACCTGTCAGATTAAAACAAGAAAACCGACAATTCCGAAGCAGAAGAGGATGATTAAAACGCACCTATTAAAAATATTACGCCAAGATGTAGGCAACACGTAATAAGGGATCAAAATGGCGGAGTTTTCTATCTCCTTTTAAAAGGCACTCAGAAAGCTGCGCAGTGCGACCTTTCTCCGTATAGTAAAAGAAAATCAAAGTATGTGGGTTTAATCCGATTAGTGACAGTTTAACGCGCTTAAATGTCACATAAAAGCACCCTAAAAAACTCCGCTTTTGTCCCGCTCCTCCAGCCCCTGACTATCCGAACTCGACTCTTGTGAATCGTTTTCATCATTTGCTGAAAAAAATGTTGATTTTTCATCTAACGAAATCGTCCTGCCCTGTTTTTGGCTCTCGATATTTAGGTTGTAAAAGCTGGATTATAAAATTAAGTTTTGTAAAATAAGATTGTAAAACTGGGTTGCAAACTATGCTGTCAAACTAGGTTGTAAAAATGGGTTGTAAAACTAGGTTGTAAAACTAGGTCATAAAACCAAATACTTATAAAAATTTTAGAAATAATATTTGGTTTCGAAATAAATTTTTCACGAGGGAGATTTCAACAGAAAAATGGCAACCAACATTTTTTATATGCATACAAATTTTCATCAAAATCAGAGTAGAAATAAAAAAATTCATTTTCTTGCCATTTATAAAATCCGGGATATTTTAAAAATGGCAGAAAAAATAATAGGTTCTTTAATCAAGTAACTGTATAATTTAGGGTAGAGCTAAATTAATTTCCATTTTCCATACCTCCTCGCTCTCCTGTTACCCTGATACGAAGATCCGAGTATCAAAAGTTGCAATGTCGTTGATTGATTTTATTATCAGGTAAATAGAAAGCAAGGAGATATTTTTAAAATGATTTAAAAATTAGGTTTCTTAATCAAGTTATTGTATAATTTATGGTAACTCAAAATTAGATTCCTTATTAAACTAACGCAAAATCGACGGATTTTTAAATCTAAGTAACTCACAAAAGGCATAGAACACTCTATGCTATCCGGCTTTACGTTTGTGTGAATGTATATATTAATCTGATAATTATTAACTGAGGAAAACGAAATTATAATGCTTGATTAAGAAAATATTTTCACTTACCTTCTATTTCAAAATCTTTTTCGAAAAACTGAAACATTTTTGTAACAGGAGCAGAGAGGAAAATAAAATAAAAAACAACAATTTCACTGAGTATGTTTACTGATAAAAATCATATATACAGAATTACAAATGAGAATGTTTCTGTTAAGTATTTATTAATTAAAAAAAAAAATCGACATATTAAAAAACACAAAATTTAATGTTTCAAAATTTACATAAACACATTTTTTTATCGTTTAAATTTAAATATCATAACTTTATTTTAAATAGAATCGAAATCCCTGAGTCTATCAGATCAAAAACAAGCATATTTTTCAATAATGACAGTACCAGGTCTATATTTTTTTTTTATCTAAATTCTAAATCTTGTCGGAACATTTACGGGTTTCATTTATTTTACATTGTAATAAAAGGGATGTTCCAAGATAAAATGACAAAAAATTTATTTAAATATTTTTTTGCAGTAAAAATATCGGGACATCCTTTATATTCTTCTTACAGCCTAATATTGCTACACAATTACGATTCTTTTAATAAATACACTAATTTGCGATAAATATTAGCATACAGGGTGTGTCAACAAAAGATCGATTTAAAAAATAGTAAGTAAACATACTTTAAATTAAGTAGAAAAAAATTGTATTCTTGTTGCTACACCCTGTGCTTTAAAATACATAAAATTCAATAAAGTAACAGTCTTTTTGGCAGATATACAAAAAAAAAATGATAAAAATCATACATACACACTCTAAACTAAAAATACTGTTTATATATAATATGTATATATTATTTACAAAAAAGTCAACGATACAAAAAATAATGGTAAACCAACAAAAATTGTGTCGAAAATAATTTGCGGTTTTTTTTTCTATCAAAAATTCTTTCAACCCCTTCCTCAAACATCATCTGTCAGCTGTCAATATTTATATCAACCGTTAATAGTAACGATAAATATCCAAATTAGTTAAGGAAATCCAAAAGTATTTAATTTTTTTTAGATAACTACAACATTGTAATGTTTTAATGCCAACTGTCAAGTTAATGTCAAGTGTCATTTTTAATTTTAGGTGTCAACTTTAATTTCATAGCATAATATTAAGGCTGTCAAGCAGAAATTTTTGGGTCT